ATTTACAAAGTTCTATGGGTGCCTTATGATACATAGAACCTTGTTATCTTAAAATTGCTGATTTTTGTAATTTTGTTACATACACCCTCAGGCAGCGTGCAGAGTACACACATCCCAGAGGGATCACCAGAGCTATATTAAGCCCGCCACCCACGTTCCAACGGCGCAGTACGATTTTATCGAATGCAATGGCAGTGCAATAATGTTGGAAATCGGATGGAAACACACACGTACAAGTTGTGTTGACGCTACAAGTTTCACATTCAAATCAGAAACATGTTAGAAACATAGAAATATTGGTTGCTGAAAATACATACATACAGTCACGTATATTTATTAGAAGAATTCCGATTATATCCAGATGATTGGAGAAATTACGTTCGAATGGATGAATCTACTTACTGTGAATAGTTATCAGCAATAACACCTGTAGGTCGCTCAGCGTCCTACTAGAAAAAGGGCCATACGGATGATTAGTTGTTTTTACTTAAGAGGTTATAACGATTCATGTTCTTTCTGTTTTTATCTAAGTCTTGTTAATCTTCAGATTGTTCATGTAAGAACAGTGCTAAATAAATACCTGTTAACATTGAAAATCCATTCTTTCACTAAGTAAAAAATAATTGAACGAACTCAACGATAATTAAAGGGAAAAATAACAACATACCCCCGTTATATAAATAAAATAAATATGTGTCATTCTAATTAAAATTGTGTACTAAAACTGGGGTTCACTTCTAAAAAATTGTATTAATAATTTTATTACAATTTTAGATTTTTCGCAACGAGAAGAAGCTACCAGAGTCATGTCCCCTCAAGCCCTAAATTAAGCCACACATCAAAATCTATTTTTACTATTTACAATGTAACGTCCACACCATTTTTAACACAACTGCTCTAACTAAAAACATCCCTCCTCTCAATTTTCCTGTATGGTATACTTCATTTCCCTTATCCATATATAGGTTTCGGACCTCTGGAGATCTCAGTCTCTTATTCTGTCATTTTTCCTCTCACAATAACAATAAAATATTACAAATTATTATAACTTTAACCAAACAGAGTCACCCTTTACCAATTAATTTGGTTGGTTTTTCATATTTTGATAACATACATTAATATTTAATTAACTCTCTCCATCCACCTAACATTCACGAACTTATATTTCTCAGATACCAAATGTTGTTTTTTAATATGTAGAGCCGTTTTCTACTTAAGTTATACGTTAAATAATGTACCAGCATTATATTACACCAATTATTCTGTTCACCTTCTATAAAAAAGTCACACCCACATAAATCAATTAAAATTTCACTGTGTAATAATAAATAAAAAAAAACCCAACTTCCTACACATATCTGCTTTCCATATTCCAGGTACCAAATGTTGAAAAAACATGGGGCCTTTTATATAAATCTTTAGTTCTCCACAATTAAATCAGATATCTGTATAGTTGGTTGCCTACCTACATTAATAACTTTTATTCAGAGATATGTAAGAAAGGGGATATGACACAAACGATATTTCTGTATTTACTAAATGGAACCACTTAATTTGACACTATGTACTATCCAATATGGCGACGGGTAGGTCCGGATTTAAAATAATTTAAGCTATATTTACGATACTTTTATATGTAAATTTTTTCCACCAAAACTTGCAAAATTCCGATTCTTTAACATAGTTTTGGGTAATATATTAATACTGTGGACATCGTGTGATAACTTACATTTGATTGAAAGCACTATCCAATATGGCGGAAGTGAACCCATCTACTTCACCGTATGGTGTCGTATGTCATAACCTCTCTCTTACATATCTCTGCTTTTATTATTCCCCAATCAATCCACAATAATACCTAATTTTTTCAACAAACTTTCAGAGTAAATCACACTCTAAATTCAAACATATTAATGATTGCTTATGTTTTAACAATGCTAATTGTTTACAAATTTTAACATATTTAATTATACATACTGCTGGCTACTGTTACATTTAGAGACATACCTTCGGTTACATTGACAGCTTTGCTCAGAATTCCGTCTTAATATGACATTTTAATCAGTTGCTATCAACAAGTCCTCACAGACACTTCGTTTAAGGACTAGCAACCTCAGTGGAGTCCTACGTTGCCATGTGATCAATTCCTTTTATAACTTAAACATCATAGTCTTTAAATATCAAAGATACAATTCAAAGTTAATCTAACTAAATTTAAAGAGTTTTTACCCACATATTTAGTGGCTTCAAACATGTCAATCCAGTAAGTATTAACCACATTTTTGTTATAACCTTGGTCAACATTTCACGTTTGCTTTAATTAAAGTGGTTATACTTATTTTAAGATAACAGTGATGAGGGAATAGTTATTCCAGAAACGTTTTGTAATGTAGCCCGATCGGGTTTTTATATTAATATATCTTTTATAGAGAAACTTTTTTTCAATTTTTTAAGTGTTTTCATCTCTGCTGTTTCTAACATCCTTTTTGTCCTCTCTGTATCAGGTCGTGTTTCTGCCGAGTATGTCATTATTGTCTGATGACATACATATGTTTTGTAAATCCTGCTTTTTATTTCTCTCCTGATATTTTTATTTCTCCGTATTGTTTTATTCAGACAACCTGCGGCACTTCAGTTAGTTCTTCTTCTACTTTTATTGTATTGTTTTGGTAGATTTTTAGATCGTTTTAATTATTCCTAGAAGCCAGAAGCTCTTTCAACAGCCTTAGAAAAATTCTCTGCAACTTATCTTTAAGTATCAATATACAAATAAGAATTCTTAGATGTTACGTCTTTAGTGTCCTCCTCTATGGAGTAGAAAACTGGAGCCTTACAGAAGATGCCATAAAACGATTGGAGGCATTTGAAATGTGGTGCTACCGACGTATATTGAGGGTCTCATATATACACCACACAAGTAACATAACTATTCTCCAGAGGCTAAGAAAAGACAAAGAAATTATTAACACCATAAAAAACAGAAAATTGGCTTACTTCGGCCACATCATGCGTTATGATAAATACCGACTTCTACAGTTGATTCTACAAGGTAAGATTGAGGGTAAGAGAGGCTCTGGACGTAGACGTATATCCTGGCTGGCCAATCTTGGGAAATGGACTGGTCTAACGTCAACTGATCTTTTTCGAGCTGCTGTGAATAAAATAAGATGGGTCAATGTGGTTGCCAACAGCTCTAGAAGATAGGCACATTTAGAAGTACAATGAGTGGATAAGGTCTGTTAATTTGACCCGGTCAAATGCCTTCTTATAAGGTCCACAAAACATAAATATGCCAGCTTGTTGTATTCTAATAATTTCTCTTGCACTTGCCTCATTATAAATATAGCATTGGTGCATGATCGGTACCGACCTAAAATCTTGTTGTTCTTCTGCTATTGTTATAATTTCATTCAGTTTGTGATTCATTTTTTAGTTAAAGTATTTAAAACTCAAAGGAACAATTAAAACAGGAAATATTCTAAACAAAACCTCCTACAGGAAAAGAAACCACAATTTATAGGCACATGACATGGATGACATTCCACCGGAATTCCTGATAGGAAATCTGCAAAAATCTGGTTGTCTAAATTTTATACATGGGCAGAATATGTTGCTAGAGTCAGAAATGGACCAAGAAAATTTTAAAATGAAGACCGAGACACGATGCTTATCGTATTAGAGGACGTCCTCCAACGTGGTGGTCAAACGGACTGGATTCAAGGTGTTCAAGATCGGATGCAATGAAATTATTTACGAGACGCTTTTGTTCAGTACTGGAGTCAAAACGGCTCATGATGTTGATGAACCTACCAAAACTCTTCCAACAAACCTAAATATTCTCTCCCAGCGGATACGGGAGTGTTACCATCCATCAAGCAGGATTCTGGGCTCAAAGAAGCACCACTAACCAAGTGGTCTCTATAACTACTAACATAGAGGAAGGTTACAAAAGAAAGCTGAAGGAACTTTCATGGAATTATCAGCCGCATGACACGGCGTGGAAAGGTGATCTAGTCTATGGCTGTGTCAAAATAATCCTCTGCAAAACGACCACTTGACTTCTAAATAACATTCTGGCTAGTAGAAACTTTCGTGTAAACATGGAAAATACAGTAAGGACATAGAGTACCTTAAACCGCGGCGTCTCCGAGAGCACTGTACCTCACCGCTTCTATTTAATATGTATATTCCTTACATGCTTCCTACTAGAACTAAAAAAATTGGATATGCAGACGACTGCTAACATACAACAAAACGAAGACTGATTAAGTACTTCAAACAACGGATACTTAAACCCAATCCCATTAAGACCGAGGTTAGCTTCTTTGACAATTAACTGCTCAAACACTCTCGTTTAAGAAACATCTGGAGTATACCGCAGCAAGGTTAAGAACCCAGAACATCGTTTAAAAGTTCTACGAGACAACATCGAGATCATCAGCTCAGCTCGTGGTCTTGTATACTCCTCGGAGGGATACTTTACTGTGACGCTATATGGCTTAATAGCGCTCAGATAGAAATTATAGATACCCAGCTTAATACCAACATGTGTCTAATATCTGGAATGATCAAGTATACAACAACAGAATAGCTGCCACTGCTAAGCCACATACGCCTATCGGTCCGCCATATATTTAAAATTATCTGATAATTTTGGCTTTTTGCTATCATCGATGCCATTTATAGATTAAATTGACTTAACTAACTTTAACTGACTTTAACTATAAGTCTTTCATAGTCTTCTCTACTAATAACTAATTACGTTTTTTATGGCTCTATATATTTAGGAGGTCTTCTAATGTAATTGCTGTGTCTAGTAAATTTCATGAAGTATAATAAAAACGCAATTCTTTGGTAACTTATATTACATAACATTTGAAGTACAACAAAAACATAGCTATCGAGAAGGATTACAGTTTTAAAAAACTAGATAACAATACAAAAAGTTTATTCTTTTAAACCCAAGTTCCTACCAGAGCTACAGAATGTCTACCACAATTCTAATTCTTGTTTTTCAATTTTGTATCTTCAACATCGCTGTCTTCGCAGGCCTCTTTAGTATTTGGTTGCTTAACTGTATTCGATTTTGAACTATTTGCGTCTACCTCTTGTTTCCTATTGTGGTTTAAATCAATATTAGTACTATCAGTATCTTTTTTGTCCTTACCTTCTAATACGGAACGAATTGCCTCTAAAAGAATTGGTTTCTCGTTTGTTGTGAATGTTTTGTTACCTATAATTTTAAAATCATGTAACGATCATTATTTATATATTCTTCTATCTATAAAATTCATTTATATATCACTGTTTGGTCAATAAAAATGTTTTAAACTATCACTTCCAAACTTAGTCTAGCCAAAAATGGCTCTTTTGATTTTATTAAGAAAACCTGGCGCTTCTTCAGAATGTTTCGCTTGTGATTGTTCCTCGGATCCCGCAAATTGCGCTCCTGTTAAAGAAAAATTTCATTTTAGTGTGAGAAATGTTACTATACCGATAAAAATTTTAAACAATTTACAAAAAAGCAAACAATACCAAAATATTTGAAAAACACTTCCGGGAAACTAGTTCGATTAAAGTAATCCAAATGAAACATTCATAAAGCTCCAAGTTTTTAAGTAGTATGAATAAAAATCACCGATTGCTTAACTAAATTCTAAATCATATACTTCATCAAGTGTTACACTGCACATATCATGTATAAGTAAGTACATGATACTGCACAAGGCCAAAAACAGATAATATACTCCTACTGTATAAAAAGAATAAGAACAAGAAAAAATGGTATCAGTAGTCAATTGAAATTTTAATTGTTTCAACAAGGCAAATTTATTAAATTGTCAAAATCTTATAAGAAACTCCTACGGACCATATGAACTTTAGAAATAGTATCAATGTTTCAAAATTTTGGCCTGCAGATAGTTCCCACACAAACGACATCACGTTAACATATACCTTTTATTTATAGTAATCTGGAAGCAATACAGTAGATAAGCTTTCATACTGTACAATACAATACATAGATATAATACAATAAGTTTTCATAATGTAGAAATAAACAGGCGAATAGAGATTGCTAGATCAGCATTTATACGAATGAAGCCACTCCGAACGTGCAAAAATCTAAATTTGGAGATCAGACTACATACCATTCGCTGTTATATATTTTCAATATTATTATATGGAGCTGAGACTTGGATATTAAAAAAATGTAACTTAGAAAGAATCGAGGCCTTCGAACACTGATTATACCGCAGACTATTGAAAATATCATGGACTGATAGAATTACAAATAAAGAAGTACTGGAGAGGGTTGGTAAAGAAACAGAACTAATCACCACTATACAAACTAGAAAACTGGAATACCTAGGCCACGTGATGAGGGGACCAAAATATGAAATTTTGAGACTGATAATACAGGGAAAGATTCAAGGAAGAAGATCTGTTGGCCGAAGGCAGAACTCATGGTTAAAGAATCTACGTGATTGGTATCAATGCAAATCGATTGATTTGTTTAGAGCAGCAAGTTCTAAAATAAAAATAGCCATTATGATTGCCAACCTTTGTAGAGAGACGGCACTCTAAGAAGAAGAATAAAATAACGCAAAAGTACAAGTTAATAAAAAAGATTAACTCGATCTCTGTTAAATAAAGAGTAACCTCAGATAGCAAGCAATTTTATTAAACCCGTCCTGTGAGACTTGTTGACCCCGTAGAATAACGTTCGGGTGTAACAATTCATTGAAGCGAGGTTTATTAATTCGTGTTTAAAATAGGAATCACTCCACCGCGCTCCAATGCTTCAGACATTGACTTAGAATCTATGGAGAGGGCATCACGTGACTAAAAACGACCTAACTTCGGCCATATTGGCATTATTGTTTTGAAACTTTTGACAGATCGTATATGTTTGGTTATATTTGCTGTTTTTCGAATATTTTCAGTTTTATAATACTTTTATAGAAACTGTAATATATTGTGATAGTGCATAATAATGGTTTCTTGTTCTCAACGTAGTTGCAGTAGCAGAAGTAATATTAATAAAAAATCTTCAGAAATATCGTTCCACAGGTTAGTATACAAATATGTAAACAAAGTAATGGCCCGTACTTCAGAGAATAAATTAATAGTATTTGACTGTATTAATTTACCTTTATGTATAATATATCGTGTTTTTAGTGTTTACCGCGGGATAAATAAATCATAGTTTATTAAAAATGTATTGCAAATTTTAAAGATTATGATTAAATCTTCTGAATAACTAGTCATATTTGTATAGTAGTTTTATTATTATTGAGTCTGGCCCTGATGTCACCGCCATATTGGTATTATCGTTAGCCACTCCTACCTATGCCGTTTTGAATACATACGTTAATATGCTCATAGCTTCTCCATAGATTCCAACTCGATGGCTTCAGACCATCCCTTCCCCCCCCCCTATAGCGCACCTAGGAGCGTAGGAGCCTTTATGTGAGAGTCCTGGGTAATAGAACTCCAACGTGGTTCCCTAACCGATTCAAATTCAAGCTAGCATTAGTCGCTTTATTCCTGTGATCGTCTAGTGGTTTATCCGCGAAACTGAAATTGCTTGCTTGGCCATCAAAACTCCGCTCTCTGCTACCACCAGTTCGGAGACTTGGTGCTCAATGGTTTAGACCCTACGTGCCCGGGTTTTTTGGTTTTTGTTAATTTTTTTGGTGGCTTGCGCCGGTTTTTGTTAGTGTTTTTTTGATTTTTTTTGGTGGTCGAAGCCGTTTATGTTTTTTGATTTTTTTTGTACGATGTCCTGAAAGAAAAATCTCAATAGTGTGGCCTACACAGTGTTTTGTGGTGGTCTGCATTAATAGAGGTATGAACTATCCTGTTTTAATTTACGATTTAAATACGATTTCATTTTTAATACAGTATTTGTTGTTTCGGAGGTTTGTGCTTCCATCGATGGAACGCATCATATCTCTTTATCTCCCACAGCATGGGACTTGGATAGTTCTCCAGTTCCGCAAATTTAATTCTGGCTTTTTCGGTCATCATGTCGGTCACCCTGATTTGTTTCAGTTCGCTGAATAGACATTGCTCAGCGACGTATCTCGGTACGTTGACTGCTTCTCTTAAGCTGCTGTTATGAGCCGCTTGTATTTACTTCTTTGATGTGTAACAGACGTGTCTCTATGCGAGAGATGCATATTTTAGTATCGGTAATATGATGCTATTTATTAATCTTATCTTCGTTTTTATTCTTAACTTGCTTCTTTTACCTGTGAGTCCTCTTATTGACGCTTTTCCCATGTTGGCTTTTTGTACTGTGGCGTCTACGTGCATTTTGAATGTTAGTTCTGTGTCCATTATTACTCCCAGGTATTTAGCTTCGTTTTTCCATTCGATGGGGTTGTTGGGCACTGTCAGTTGTTCCTCTGGTTGTTAGTTTCTCTTTTTGAAGAGCACCGCTAGCGTTTTTTCGGAGTTTGTGGCGATATTCCATTGTATATTCCAATCTTCGATGTTTCCCAACGCTGTTTGCAGGTTATTTACTGCTATATCTACATTTCTGTGTCTGGCCGCTATCGATGTGTCATCGGCATAAAAAATAAATAAAATTCCTGGTGTTCTTGGAATATCTGCGGTGTATATTATTCAGCATCAAAGATGCGTTAAATCTGGCCTGTTTTTAAATCTATTGATTATTTTTTATTTTTAATATTACTTCAAAAAACCTAAATTATTTCCAAAAATCTTTACAGAAGCAGCCGTGAAGTTATAGAATCCGAAGACATTCCAAGGATATAAATAAAAGAAAAGCCTATTTCTCATCACTATCGGAAACCTAACTCTGGACTGTCCGCCAGAATGCGACAATAGGCACGGTTTGCAGTAAAAGCAACCTCCACTGTCTGAAATAACACGGTAATAATCAACAACCCGAATGATCATAATAAGTGCTAATAAGGGCCCTTGGACAGTGGCTTCACTAGAAGTCTGGCGTATCTAATGGAAAATAGCTGTTAATCCAGGAAAGAAACAAAAAGTTGTATTGTATTGTAGTTGTATTATTATATTATATTATAAGAGAAGAGATATCCCAGAGGACAGACCTATTATATATAAATCCAAATTTCCATGCAAATCAGTGGATACAAAGTATTCAATGACATTGTTTGAATTATAACTAATCTAGGGGGGTAAGATTTAGGAGATAAACTGATAAAATCTTAAATTATGTTGTTTAAATGTTAATTGACATTCATTCACTTCATTAACAGATGATTTGAACCAATTAACCGCTTTAATTAATTTTAAGCAAACAACGGCACAAGTTGAAGAGTGAAAATAACAAGGTATCGCCTTATTTCACGTTCATTTACTGGCCAGCCCATGGCCAGAAAATGAAATCATTATAAAATATATGTTATAAAAGTTTAACTTTTTTGTATGAACATTTATGTGTACGTAATATGTATTTTGAGATCTGTCTAACTTGTTAACATTTTGAGCTTTGGAATTTAACCAGTAGTAAATATAGCTAATAGGTAACAGTTTTGTATTTCTTGTTTTTATAAAAATCTCCCCTTCTCTTGGACACTGAATAAATAATTCTGAGAAGTTTACTTAAAGACTATACAATTTTTTTTACAAAGAACCTGCTTCAACCTAAATAAGGTTATTAGCGGACAGTTTATTACACTTAGCTTATTAAAGTCTTATAAAAAGAAAAGTAGGTTATCTATAGTGTTTTCTGAATTTAAAATGTCTTTAAGCTTGTTTGGTAAATGGTATTTAATTCTATGACGATTGACCTTTTCGCCCTTTTCTACTAGCACGTGTTTTACGGTAAGAAGTGAACCTCATTCATCACAAATTGGGCGTTCTTCTTCTTTAAACAAATGTTCATGAGAAAACTGGGTAAACGCGAAATAATTATCTGCTTTCTTCTGGATACCTCGGTTGGTTGCTATGGTCCAAACTTATTTTTTTTATGTCCTGAAGCTTTGATGGTGTGGATTTCCATATATTGTTCCAGTTCTCGAACAGGTGCTTTATTAAATAGCTTTTTAGATCCATACTTACAGATTCGGGTGATATAGGGATACTGTTGTCGTTTATAGCTTCTTTGGGCATTTTTGTCTGCTATTTCGTTACCTGCAATTCCAACATGTGACGGTACAGAGAAATTTGATGGTTGTATCTTAAGTATGCAATTTATTTAGTTATTCCTTTATCAGTAAAGCTAATGGATGT